TACAAATAGCTGTCTACGCAAGATACTCAACATCGATTGGCCGGATACCATCAGCAACAGATTTTTGTGGGAGAGAACAAACTAGCTTCCAACTGAAGAGGAAATTAGGAAAAGACGATGGAAATGGATAGGACATACATTACGCAAATCACTTAACTAAACCACGAGGCAAGCCCTAACTTGGACTCCTGAAGGGAAACGGAAAAGAGGAAGGCCAAAAAACACATTACGACAGGAAACAGAATCAGATATGGAAAGGATTGCTTTGGACAGGGTTGGATGAAGAATGCTGGTAAGAGGCTTATTCTTCTTCACGAGGAGTAACAGGCGTAAGTAAGTAAGAAAGAAGTACACAATAATCGAGAATTTTTTTAAAATTATACCCAATGATTTGAAAAACTTGAGAATATAAACCTCAAAAGAAGCCTGCATTAATCTGAATACGGTTCAAGGGTGACGAAATTATGAGCATGTAATGTACTAGCGATGACTAGGAATTCGGAACTTTTGGAACTACTATGTAACGAATTATCTTTATCTTTATTATGTCACTTAAATAATTGGTTTATGGTATTTTAATTTTGTTCTATTTTTAAGGTTTCGTTTAATGCATTAGCAATCGGTATACGTTTCACCATTCCTAAATCACTGTTAATTAATTACGTACCTATTACCCAGTTTTGCATCACTTCTGGCTTCGTTATTTACCAACCATGACTTTATCTGTGGCATGTGGTCGTCCGTTAACAAATGTATGCAATTCTATTAGTGTTTGAGTTATAGAAGCAGAAGGTTACTCGACCTGCTTTGTTCGACTTTTGACCGGCTATTAGAATAGAGGTAAATTGTATCTTTGATCAATAAGAATAACGATTTTCACTGTTATTGTGTACGGATATTTGTTATTCGTCAAATTATGTTATTGATCAAGTGAAGATCAGCTGTCAGATAAGCATGAAGCTTACACGAAACTAGTGAACTATATCTCGTGATTCGATTGAGGACATGTAGAAGGATTGAGGAGACTAGAATTTTGTACCGAACAGCACTTCCCGACACTTAATAATCCTTTTTGAGCAAAAATATTCGATGAAACAATAGGTCACTTTAATTATCTAGTTCATTTTTATACTAAAATCTGTTCAGTAACACAGATACCCATGACATATTATGTCGAATATCATTTATCCGTTTACATGTATGTTCTAAAGCTATTACGTCGAGAAGTCAGATATACAACTACTCACAAACCTTAATGAACACTTTCCAAAGAAACTTTATCGGGATAGCCAGACATCACTTGAGCGTTATGTGCCTCAAATGGGATATGAGGAAGATATCAAAAGTATTTCTATTTTAACCAATAAACAGTAAAAGTGTGATTTACTCGTATTTACAGAGATCATAGTGACTAGAAAGTTAAAATCTAACTTTTATATTCTGGAAAATTCAAAGATTTCGAACTATCAGTCATAAGTAGAGACGTAAACAACGTGATTTATTCCCTTCCTTTTCAAACTATAGTGACAATTAATACTGTTAAAATAATGTACTACCGTTAATATTGAAAATTTTTCATTGTAGTTACTTGATAAGAATTTCTTCTAAAGCACTTTTCACTCCATTCTCAATAATCAGATGCTCAGTAATGAATAATAGCATTTCTCAATGTGAAGACATGTCTTCAATATCCTAGAATTGTGTAGCTCAATTAACAGCTTATATCAACATTTCAGACGATTGGTTTTATCCATCCGTCAGTTGATAAATCACCAAAACGATACACTGATCATATTAAAAGGCACAATAACTACTTCTAAATGAAACAATTTATTTTGCAAAATATTACAAAAATTTGTTATTCAGAATTAAAGTGTGAAGAGTACTAGGGTAATAGAGAGAAATAAACTGGTTAGTATTCAAAATTTCTACTTTTTCTTATCAATATCCTGTGATTTGGTTATGATCACTGCATATTTTCATGCTTACTTTTCATGCTTATTTTCATGCTAACTTAGAACTGAGTAATTAAAAAAGTTGAAATTAATAGCATAACGATCAGCTCAAGTGCCAAATGTTGCATCAATAACGGTATCTATCACAAACTAGCTTATGAAAGGAAGTGAATTAAGTGAGTGCTTTAACCGTTTCTTTAGCCTAAACCTCTGCATGTGTTCAGAAATCTTGGTTGGATTTTTCAACTTGCGTCACTTGTGACGTAGATGAAATGCAAATCTAACGACCAGAGAGAAAGTATATCGAGAAGCGGCCGCTCTGTATTAATTTAAGACTGCAAAACAGACTTAAAGATAGCAGACGCATATAAGCTGGACAATTTTAATGATTCGTGTTTTCAAAGCATTGTTCGAAAATCATAGAATGACCGAGTTAGCGATGTTGAGGTTAAGCGTAGAGTAAATTGATATTCCAATATCTGACTCCAGTTAGACCGGATGAATGGTTGTTATAGAAATGTACATGTCGCCAATTCTCGTATATAATCATCAACTTGCATCGCGTTGGTGAATAACGTAATTAAAAAAAGTCGAATACAAGAATGGATATCTGAATATGCATATTTCGTACTGTCTTTAGTCTGAAAAGATGATCAAAGAAATGAAGCGAAACGAAATAATGCGTGGTGGATAAGGCGTCTAAGCCAAATCCATTTAGCTAAGCGTGAATAGAAACTTATAGTCAGACAAAAATATGTTACAGACATGTAGTGAGTAAGATAGTAAATGCACACACACACGCTTACATAAAAACAAACAAGGTTGATAAGAGAATAATCGACAAGGTCAAAATGTGACTCAAGAAGAATAAATAGATTGGCTTGTCTGGAATCTAGAATAAGCCATTTGGACTTGAATAGCAACCAACACTACAAGTAATAAGCGAAGATGACAGGTCGGTTGAAGAGGTTATGAATAATAATCAACCAAGGTGGTTAGTGTATTTATTACGTATGCCTAAACACTGTTTATTTTGACGCGCCATACTTCCTGGTGTAAGGGTGAGTTGGAATAAAGTTGGGGTAACCAAAACATGACATGGAATCAGTTTCTGTAGTCATAGAGTATTTTTCTAAACCTTGCTAGAAGAAGCAGACTACTTGGTTGGGATTCGTATTATAATAACAAGCAATCGCTGAAGACTGGGTGAAGTATCAGAATCGGTCAAAATTGCGTAGATACATGTGCTGTATATAATCCTCTAGATTTTGAGCTCTGGAATTCATTTACACAAAGCTTTACATCCTGTTCTTTTTTTAACCATATTCTTCATGCCATGACATGGCTCAGAATCGATCACTATGGTGTAGATGTATAAACTCGCTGCCTTCCCTTAAACTAAGAGATTAAAACTGTTTTATAACTTTCTTTATACGTACGAAATCTTTCTTCCTGTACCATATCCTTATATGCAATCTTTCTTTTATGTATTACCACCATTGTCTTAATTACTCCTATGAACCCGGTGTTCATCCTGCTGTGCTAATGCGGTATGGCAACTTGGACCGATGTATATATGTGCCTGATTCTACCTTGTAGATGACTGACTAACTTTATGTCTAATCTCTCTCATTATAGTGACAACGACATCATTCCGACTTATTTACTACTCATTGTGTTTATTTAATCTCATCGTGTTAATGTGGTATGACGTTAAGGTCAACGTAAATCACTGGTTTTTTTTTATCTCAAAGCACACACCACTCATTTAAAACATTGTTTTCAATTACGTTAAAATAAAACATCGATGAATTTGGTTTTTACTTGATAAAGACTTTCAAACCTAGTTAATTCACATAAATTGTTATTACAAATAACTCTCTGATCAACTGAGAAATATATAAACGCGAAAATTGAAAATGATGGTAGAATGAGAATGTATGTATTCTGCAGTTTTGTACGTACACCTGGTAAAAACATGCACTAAAAATAAAATTCAGATATGACAGATTCGCATACATTTTTCTTAAAAAATATCATTCTTATATTTACGTCTAAATAGAGTAAGTCAATTGGTAGAAAACTGTCACGTCTTTTATCAGCTTCAAAAGTTTAAGTGTCTAGAAAGTCATTGGTTGAACATGATTTTATTCATAATAAAAAGAAGTTAACATTCAAATGTTCTTACTCACACTAAAAATAAAAGCCAAGTATTTTATCATGTGTATAAAATTGTGTCAAGGACAATTGTTAAATCGTTTGATTGTAATAACCCCAAAAGTATTTTAGATATCTGGTATGATTTAAATGTAAACTCTCTTATTAACCTTCACAGTAACACGGAAATATTGAGTTGATAACAGAGTATAATGTATAGGACAAAATATGGTAGACCACCTTTTTATGCACATTTGAAAAATGCTTGTTAACCAGGAATAATACAACACGAATACAAGTATGGAGTCTTTAATACCTTCGAAGCATTAATTAATTTAGCTGAGACAACCCATTAAACCATGTTCATGTTTGCTGGGAATAGAAATCCGCAGACATTGAGTAACTTATCATAACTCTTTACTTAGAAAACGTACGTGAGTAGAGTATCTTGATCAAGACAGTCATATTATTAGTACGTATGAAGGATTCATAAAGTAGTCAGCAAACCAAGACAAATACATTAGTTTGTGAACTCAGTGGTTTTAAAGTGTAGCCGTAATAACTAAGTGAAAACGAGATGATAAGGATAAATTGGTAGAGGTTACATTTGGCACAAACAAAAGTCAATCGCAGTTACACAGATTTGTTCATTCTTTAATTTTATCAAAATGTAGAAGAAAATAATAACGTTTGTGTAATAAGCAATAACAAGCTAACATCACCATCAATAACAAAACTAGTTTCAATCTTCTGAAAACATACTCGTAAGTAAACATTGTAAGGGATTCAAATTCGAAAATTTGATTTAAAAGTCTAGTACTAACCCAATTTCTTATGATAAGAGAGCATGAGATCAAGTATGATGCATTAAAATAGTCGAAAACTTACTTTTCTCAGCACCATAAAACGCATCAGGAAAAATACTCCGATAGATGCCAAACCGCTTAGAAGAGGTGAGAGAAACCATGATCCAACTAAATTCAAATGGATAAAACAATGTGACAACAATCAAATCAACGTTATCTATTTTAAGAAGTAATGATGCTCACAAGTCATGTTAGGTTGATGATAAACAAAATGTGATATAATCATTATCGAGTATACAATTCATGGGTGATAGTAGAAAGTCAACAATTAATTTCGTAGACTTAATTTATTTGCTTATTATTAATATTGGTGTGTTATTTCATTTAGTCTATATTTTGAAACAAAATCTTGTATAATATTATCTATGTTATAAGATGCTTTCATAAACGCTGTACGAAAGGTATAATTTCTATTTGTAAAAGTCTCAGAGATTAAAATTCAATAGTTATAACAATTCACCTAACAGCATGATCTGGTTTACTACAAGGAAATAATCAAAATTATCTAAAATAGAATAAGTTGAAAGTTATTTTACACTAAATTGTTCAGTCACATTTACAGTATTAACATGAATCATTCAGTGAAAAAAATATATCAGAACAGCCGTATATGATGTTGAATATATTATGTGGACGTCATTCTTATAGAGTGGTTATAAAAGGCATTATGCCATGGTCAGAATTACTTCCGACCTAATCTATCTTCTATAGTTTTGACTTTTTCCATGGAGAAGCTCAGATTGGACTGCCGAATCAAATTCTGAATGCACTTGATTTGAATTTCTGAAATTTTTACAGATATAATTTATAACCAATTTCTTCCGCGACCAATTTTTGTGAAAATACTCGCCCAAATCTCGGCGAGACTTCAATTAGAGTAATAAGCATGTAAAAATGACAGACGACATTGTAAACCCTTGGGTTAATGAAATGAATACTGGTCACGAATGCATATCTGGATGTTGACAACAACTGAACATTGATGATCAACTTTAACACAGACGGGCGGAATTAAGTCTACATGTTGAACAACTGAAAAGTTTGCAACAAACTTGACAATTTCTAATTACAATTTATAAAGATACAGTCTTTAAATATTAATAAGAAATCTGGTAAAAGCATGGTGCGGCGACGAGCCACTCACAGTCAAGAGTGCAAATTTTAGGCTTTTGCGTGAAATTCAAAGATTACGTATAATCAACAGTACAAATACTTTCGTATGTCTTTCAAAACGTTTAAAATGATTGCAGATAATTATCTTTTGCAACTGTATAGTAAAAATGATATTACTAAACGCATCAAATGATCAATCCTTTTTCTGTAAATTATATATAACTGGCAAATCAACACCATCCCTATAATCCAAGCTCTAAACTTTTAATCCTGTAACAAACTTTAACCTGGTAACAGTACATTATATAGACGAACTAATCAGATAGTGCCTTTTGTATTCTCGAGTGAAATTCATTCATCCATATGGCAACAGAGTATTTTTTCACTTCAGCTGACGCCATTTCGTGATGAAAACCCTAACTTCGGACAATGTAGGGACTCCTAAGAATTTTTTGGGGTCCTTTAAACTATTCAAAAAGATGGACGGTCTATATTCATGAGGACGAGTTTATATGTAGTTGTTTCTTCGACTTACAAACAAAGTAACTTTCAAAAGACATTGATAGATTTATTTCATGAAATCTGTATACAATTCTTTTACATAACCTATCCATTTATAAAATCTACTTTCTGATCGTCTAGAAACTAGATGGAAATTCGTCGCAGCTGTTTTAAACTCATCCTTATACTGTACTGTTACCAGAAATACTAGCATTAATTCAAAGAAACGTTCACCATTTTCATAATTTACAACGGATATTACATTTTTATCCCCTTACTGCTCTAGAAAGCATTCATTTATGGTAATTGTTAAAAGTGTACATCAGAAAATTAAACGATTATTAAAACAATGCAATTGTAAGTTGAACTTGCACAGAAATATGTTGTGGCTAAAAATAAAATCAAATGATAAAAGAAATTTCGTGATCAGTAAGTAGATCGGTTTAACATAAGATGGTTAATGTTAGCATCCAATAATTACATTTTGAGTGTGTCTACATTGGTTACTGTCAACATGAGAATATTTCAACTTTTCCTAGTCTACCAATAAGAATTCTTAAAATCGTTTGAAACTGACTAGTAAACATATTAGTTCGGACAAAATTTTATTGGACACAAAACTCAGTTAATATTTTCGATTCGAGATTTCCTTAAAAACAGATTTCCAGTAGTTCTTTTTAAGAGAATTAAGTTTACGTTCCTTATCATCAATAAATTATGGCTCGCTCCTTGTTCATCACCAAACCGAATCATTTAAACACATGAATTAAAAATACCTTTGGTTTCAACAATAGTTAAGTATTGTAGTAATTTGTTATATTAGTTATACAATATAATGAATAATTTGTCGATAAGAGAAATATTTGATTTTGATACTTAATAATCTTGTTGTCCAAGAAATATAGGTTAAAGAGCTTGACTAAGTGATTAAAGTTTGGTGAAAGCCTAACGTATATTAACTTATTGACTTGTTTATTCAAATAATCATATCTTGACAGGTTATATCACCGGAGTTTTAGTCACAGATAAGCCAAAAACTTAATTTCATGCAGTCAAACAGTTAACTGGAGAATGAAGGAAATTTCACAGCTTATGTAATAATTTGTTTCATTACACGCCTACGTGACTTATTCAAACATTTGCACAGAATTTATTCTAATCTTTCCAGTTATTCTATGACACATACATTTATTCTCGTTAATTAGTCCAGTGCAAGCTTGAGCACGTTTTGTACATCTGTGTATAATAGTACGTATATGCATATCCCATTCCTGTATTTCTTACATGATTTATAAAACCTAAGTCACCTTACTATTCTCTGAGTCGGTGTACTACCGAACTTCAGTGATTTGTACACTCTGTAGACCTTTTATTTGTTTGTCTGTCATTCGACATCAGCATGTTTGAAGTGTACGTACAAGTCGTGCTTGACTTTTATTATCTAAGTTGTATCAACATGATTTTTCGACAGAATGTATACGAAGTAAGTAGGATATACATTTCATTAGTCTGAAAATATGTCTTCTGTCTAGTTCACTTATTTATGGAGAACAATTCATTCTGACCAGTCATATCAATTAACATAAGTCTATACAGCATGAATGTATCTAAATTCAAGTGAGGAAACTGAACAAATTTATCCCACTTTAAAAAAAGATAACTATTCCTTTACAAGGTATCATTACCAAGGTTTGATTTGATAATTTCGAATGAATTGAGCATTGGGTAGATTGTTATAAATAAATAATATATTTGTAATATCCTAATGAGTAGAAAATTAGATTTTCTGACGTTTCTTGACTTAGTGTAATTAATTAATTAAAATTAATCCAAGTTTAATTTGGTTATTTATTCTCTGAAGAAGTGACTTACACTAAGTCACGAAACGTCAGAAAATCTAATTCTCTACTCATTAGGATATTACAAATATATTACTTATTTACAGCCCTTTACAAGTTTTTAAAAAAAACTATTTTGGGAAAACTTAACTAAGCTCTGTATGAAAATATTTGATTTATAGTTTATAAAAACGAATGAAAGAAATTACACAGAAAATAAGGTCCAAGTCACACGATTAAAGTCAATTCTATCCAATAGCAACATTAGCTATCGTTACCATCCTATAATATGGCCATGATAGCATTCCATATTTATGTACAAACAAATAAAATGAACAGTTCTACATGTAAAGTTGCATAAAATATAATATGTAAAAACAGGATTATTAACAGTCAAGTTATCAAATTATGTTGATGTTGATGGAGTTTTGTTCTCTGAGCTGGATGGTTCGGTCGTGGAGCTTTCATCGTTCTTCTGAACGAATGTAGTATGAATATATTATACAAAAATGTTAATACTTATTCAATCCTTATAAGTATAAAGTGTCAATAAGTAGGACAGTAAATTAATTATAATCATTATTGGAAGCAGACATCAAAAGGATGAATTGCAACTGAAAATAACTGCAAAGGATTGCTCATGACAGTGTTGGCTGCAGAATGCTGGTGGACGACCTATGCTCCTCCACGATGGGTAACAGGCATAAGTATGTAAATATTATTATTATTATTATTATTATTATTATTAAATAATTTGGCATATTTAATTGAACTGTCATGCTATAGACACGAATGTAGGCAAAATATAATAAAATCCTGAAATTGACGAAATTGATTACAGTATTTTTAATGTGAAGTAAATCTCGAAAAGGTGTATTTTTTCTTATTTAAACAGGGAAAGTCATGTAACTTTCAATAAAAAAGACCAATGTGAATGAAAAGTAAAGCCTGGAAATACAATGTAAGTTACAGTATTTAAATAGTATCATGTTTCTTCTCTAAATTACTTACAACACTATTATTATGATTATAAAACTGCTCAGTAGTTCAAGGAATAAAACTATTATTCGGTCTATGAGATTATTCATTATATTTAGTTTATCTTAGTCCACTATTATATAAATCACTACCGTCATAGAATATATAGATTTCCCATCCAACCAATGTGATCACTTAAATTACAGCAAGTACTATTCATAATTAGGTGGTGAAGACTCAGCATTATCAAACCATGAACAATAAATACATACTAACTAATTGTAGCATTTCATAGCGGAGCAAAAAGAGAAAAGTGTTGAAGTAAACACGAAGAATATAGGCAAACAGAAATGTTTGTTCAAGAAAAGAAATATTATTTCTAAAATACCAAAGCGAAGGACAAATAAACAATGGAACAAATAGCAAACTGGTCAGAAACGATTAAATTCTCACTACTTGAAGAAAAAATAAATACAAAATATATCTTTGCACCGATGACATCATACTCAAACGACTGTATCTAGTGTTCTCCTGTAAATATAAATCAGATGTAAGTTTTGCTTTGGATCTTAGATACCTCATTCTACTGCGAAATAGATCTATGTTAACTTCGTTTTCAAAAAACTGAGACTACTATTATTTAATTTTGTTCTAAATATAGAAAAGCGAAACATTACTTCAAGCAACTCGGTGTATTATATTTTTGCGTTGTTTGTGGAACCATCATTGTGACAGAATTTGCATATGCATATAATTTTACATAAATAGTAGAAATCAGCTGAGTGAACACATACAATCATTGTTGAGTCAGATGATGAAATATACCGTCTAATCCTGATCACCTAACATGGGAAAACACATCAATAAAGTAAGTTTAATCCAGGAACAAACTGTTTGACTATATACATAGTGTGCAGTAGAAACTGTTCCAAAACGTATAACCATATATACAAAACATAATACGTATATAAAATCTAACACTTATCACCTTTGTTCTGTAGACAGGAAGTCCTGGGTTCGAATCCCGGTTCTGGGATCGTGGGTACACACTACTTAGGAGTCGCACGCTAGAATGAAAAGGCAGTCTAGTGCTTCCAATTTTCGGATGGCTGTCTGATTTAAATCGGTTTGTGATTTCATTGAAACTCAACAATCTCCACAACCTCAGACTGACAAAAATGTTTGACGTATTATGATTCCCACGTAGTTAAAAAGCGATAATAAGGAAAAACAGACTATGTTTTGATTTTGTAATGTAACTTTTATGGCTTATTAATTATCAGAATGTCTTATGATTTAAAATCTCTCCTAGGTTTTATCAAATCATCCGTTTTCTGTTACGCTTTTCTAAATCATGTGGATTATCCTACGCTCCAGCATAAGAATACAATAAAGTGAGATTTACGAAATATTCTGTAGTTTACTATTGAAAATCAAGGTGCATAAAGTACATTATATAGATAGCCATGTCTAGTTGTCTAGGCCTAAGCAGTTATTTATTTATCAAAAGGGAACTAGATTTTACCAATAGCAATAGCTATCATAAGAAAAATAGTTTAATTCATAAAGATACTGTGAGGAGCATTAATGCTTAAGCATTTGACGCATAAAGGGACAAATTACTTACATTTCTAAACATTTCTAAATGGTAATAATAACTTTACTAACAAGTAGAATTCATGCTGTTCAAGTTTGAAATGGGACTCAAACTGCAAAGTTATGAATTCGTATGAAATCATAATCATTCATATAGGGTTAAAATCTCTACTACACGAATAAATAACTACTGCAGTATCGAGTAAACAATATCACTACTAAATAATTTATTCTCATTAAATTATCAAAAGTGTATTCAGAAAAATAATTATCATGTTCATTATCTTTATATTAAAAAAAAACTCTTACCAATTTTGAGTAGTCCTTTCCATTGAATAGCATTGAGTCCAAAAACAACAAGACTAAAACCCATCGTTGCACCTACAATACTATGTGTGCCAGAGACTGGAAGACGGAAGAATGTAGCAACCAAAAGCCAAATACAAGAACCTATAGACAAATGAAACAAATATAACAGAAAATGGTAGAAAAAAGTTACTCGAAATAGTGAATACCTCCGTAAACTCTATCAGTATATGTATAATTCTATGAATACAGTTTACTGATGATAAAAGCTTATGATTATCAAATACATCCACTTAATGTCAATTATTTGATATTCGAGTTTAATTAACTGATATGCGCCCGTCAGAATAGAGATTAAGAAAACTGTCAGAAGTTATCTTTTAACCATTATACTAACTATGCTACATACCTGAAATAATCTCAAAATGTTAGAGTTAATCCCAAATTGAATAATACATAATAACAGTGTATACATTTAACTGCTTGTCATGAGTTCATTAGACCCAATATTACAGGCTTTAAGCAAACATAACATTTGCTAAACAAGTATACAAATATCTAATGGGTTCGTTTTTATTCAATAAAAATAAATAGCATTAAAAAATATGCCTATCACAAATGCAACCAATAATAAATTTTGATAAGTCACAAATTATTTTACAACAAAGATTATTTTAACAGGAAATTAGCAATCACCTTGAGAGAAGTAAATATTTGTTAAGAACATGGAGTATAAATGTGCCAACTTGACATTAAAACTATAATCACAAGAACTACGTTGGATTCTGCACACAATTTCACTCAAACATAGAATAAAAACTAACAAATAACTTGACAATTATTTTATCAATATTGTAATAAGTACGTCATTGTTTTGGAATAATAAAATCTCCTTTTAAAACTGACTAAGTATTTAAGATTTTTAAAGTTGCCCTCAAATGTTTTATTGTGCAAAAGACATTAAACAGTTTGGTAACAACTGTAATTTAACAGTTGATATTAGTCAATCACAACGTAGAACCTATACGCATGTACATCGGTTCAAGTTGCCATACCCGAATAGCACAGAAAGATGAAGTTGTTGTCAGGCCAGATCCTAAAATAGTAGAGGTAGTAACAGTATCAGTGGTAATAGGCAATATTGGACATCGAAGATATGACTCGAAAAGAAAATATAAATTAGCAGAATAACGACAAAGAATGGATGCACCTGAGCCGTTCCAAACGATTTAGAGCCATGTCATTCAACGTCTCCAACCACTGATTACGATAATCATGTAACCGTCGACCAGGTAGTACTTATTAACACTAGTTAAATCCAGTTGTCAGTGACTCCATGGATTGATGTCATGTTTTGGTTTGGCTGCCCCATAGCTTCCCTCCAGCCTACTCCTGCACCAGAAAACATCGACTGTCGAGGTAGGCGGTGGTTGGGCATACGCAACACATGTCCCAAACACCTCAGTTGATGTAGATTTATTAGATAATCAATCGGTTTCCTATCTTTGCCTAGTACTCTATTCCTAACCCAGACATTGAATATTCCGTGATCTCAAAATACACTTCTAGTGGCATTATATCTAACTCCAGTTAGATCGTTTCTGATTGTTATCGAGATATATACGTGTTGCCAATCCTCGACTTAACTCGCGTTAGTGAATAACGGAATTAAAGTAAGACAAATACAAGAATGAGTTTTGAATAAGTATATTTTGTACAATCATTGATCGGAATAGACAATCAGAAAGACGGAGCGAAGGAAGAGAAGAGGAGAGAGTGAAACAAAACGAACCGGAGAAGACATGTCAATCAAATCAACTGAATCAAGAGTTACTCAATATTTCTAGTCAGACAAAAAACAGGTTACAGACATGTGATGAGTCGAATAACAAACGCACACACATACGCTTACATAAAAACGGTCAAGGTTGATAAGCGAATAATTAACAAAGTCAAAAATGTGACTCAAGGAGAATGAATGAATTGGCCTGTCCGAAAGCTAGAATAAACTATATGGGCTTGACATAGTGCCAGCCACGTCAAAGCCCCCTGTAGAAAATAGCGAATTAACCTTAAAATGTCTGTTTTCGAAATTAACACAGAAGATGTGTGCAGTTAACGTAAACAATAACTAGCGAACAAAAATTGTACTGTATCTGATAGAGTAGTGTCGCGTAAGGAGTGAATGTATTGTCACACTTATGTAAAAAAGTACATGAATATTGTAAAGATGGGGAAAAAATGGAATGTTAGCATGCGATTATGAGCAAATTATCAAGCGTACAAAAAATTAACATACATTTATTTCGTGACTTTGAATGATTAAATGACACGTTCGTATGAGCGATTCAAAATATCGTGAAAACAGAGTGATAAATCGTTCATGGGTATGACAGAGGAATATACCGTGAGAATAAGTAGGTTGCAAGTTGTCTGATGTATGAGCAGGTAGTAAATATATCGGAAATATATGACATGTGACAGCCATATATCCGCAAAAATGAAAGATAATAACCAAGTCATTGATGCGATAATTGACCCAGAACAAAATAAAGATGAGATATCCTAGCAAAAAGCTTATCAGAATTAAAGGCATCCACAGACATAACAAATGATATCGAAATGAAAAATGTTTGGTATAGCATTAAAATGATCTCGCCTAAGTAAATGTGTGTAAAAATAGGGCGGAAATGGCACGAAAAAAAATTGAGCGGACTCACTCAAGACAGGAAAGTTTTACGTTATTGAATAATAGAAAACAGTCCAATGAGTTTCAAATGTTATAACGTGAATGGAATGTTCATAAAATTATAATTTCTTCGGTGAGTGATATGATTGTGTATATGTCATAATCCAATGTCAGCACGAACAAAAATAATAATTCCACGTTAGGTGATGATATGACATTAATGTAATCATGAGAATATGATAATTATAGTCATAATGGGACGATCCATCAAAACGATAAGTGAGCAGAGTTGACACGAAGACAAAGTACATATAGGATAATGCGATCTGAGCATGTCCATGTCACTGCTGTACCGGTGATGATGAATGCATCGGATTAGAGATTAAGTCGTTTGAGTTCCTCATCTACTAAGTCAGCCACTTTGTCCGTTTATCACACCCATAGAGTTCGAGATGTACACCGTCTGTCCAGATTTGCAGGATGCGTTTGGTCCGAAATCGAACTTACAACTTTATTAGTGTGATGATGATATCATCTATGAGGTTATCGAGTTCTTCCTGTCCCGTTTAGCTGGACAGCACACAAGCGACTGTTTATTCGAGTCCCGTCTAGGGAAGCCTGTTTTAAGTTGGAATTTAATGCTAAACCTACACCAGCGAGGTCACGGGAACTAGCAGTGGGGTCTCCAGTCACTTTTAGAGCAAATCGTCCCGATTCTTTATACTGACAAGGTGAGGTCAAATGAATGACTGTACTTGGACCCTGTATGAGCGTTTCGGAGACGCATTACACGTTGATAGCGCGAGACTCTAGGATTTTAGCTAAAGGAGCATGTTGTGTCATCCGACACAAGGTTCGAATATTAAAAGCTCCAACATATAGTTTAGAGCATAGTTTCAAGAGACCAGAAATAACATTTCGTGAACTCAAATCATTAATGTTAGTGGCACGTGGTGATAAAGATAAGTTAGAAGGGTTACTCATTGGGATGAAAGAATTATTAGGAGATAAAGGAGTGGTTCCATCGTCAATACGATGACCTCGGGTGCTGATAGTAGTATTAGAATGGTTGTCACTTCCCGGTTGCCCACACCGCAGAAGGATATTTCTTCTTGAGGGACCTGAAAAGGATGTTGAATTAGTGGTGGTCTTGGCGAACTAGGAGTGTGACCACAGAGCCCAAAGGACAACTGCTTAAGGCCAGTTGCGCACGTGCTTTATATGGGACGTTTTGATGAGTTTGCTTCGCACTTCAAAACGCCTTACCGCCGGATGCAGATGCTGGTTGTCCGAACAAAACACCTTACTGCACCCACACTCCACTACAGTCAGCAGTACGATCTGGCCTGCGGGCCTTAAGTTGCTGCTTTTAGCATTACCGTCTTCCAACCGACCTCCCTGGTGTGGCAGCACCTAAAGAAACAAGTGCTTACCCCGACATAGTTCAGTAGAATCATCACGATAGGCAAGTCCGACCACCACATCGATAGCAGCTATGGTCGAGCGAACGTTGATATACATAAAGTAAAATAGCTCATTATCACTAGGAGAATTATTATCTTATCAGTTTTATTTAATTCATGTATAACTGTTAGCACCAGAGATTAAATGTAGTTGATTACTTTTGAAATCCAGAAAAAAATTATATAGTGAAAAAAATACTATTTTCATAGACCTACCACCCAGAGCAGCAACCTGTCCGGCCATCAAGAGTACATGCCCGTTGTCGATGGTTTGAAAAAGTTCGACACTAACAATACCTTTCCGTATGGTATTGGAAACTTTAGCACCTGAAGAAGCACGCACGTATATATAACCAAACTAAATTTACCTAAAAGAACAGAACCGCTTAATTCACAGATTGTAGCAAGAATACAAGCTTGTTTCAGTGTTAATACTTTGGCCCCAACACTAGTCCCGAATGAATTTGCCACATCATTTGCACCAATTCCAAAAGCAAGAATAAAAGCTATTATGAAACCAACAACGACCATCCATATTTGGTCTTCAGGGATCAACATGGTTCATAAGAACCAAAGACTGCACGATAATATCTTAATATCACACGCTCAAGTAAACTGGTGGGTTGAAAAATAGAAAACAGATATATTGTAGATGTTTGCTGATAAACAAAGAAAAACACCAAAGATATATGTATATCTGGTTATACGAACCAAGGTTATAACTTAGATGGATGTAGACCTTCCCTAAGTTTCTAGAGATAAGCTCAAAATGATAAAACAAGATGATCTATTAGATCACGTGAACACTTCTTTAATTTCAAGATTCGAGCTAGTGTATAACGTTATGAGACTTCATGCATTCATGTCAGACATTTCTTCGCCTAAATGTCCAGTTTTGTAATTTTCCCATACTGTTTCTATAAAGTATCGAAGCAAAAGAGAGGAAAAATGTATTCCATAAACTTCATTGTTTGTTGAGCTGGCTTTATAAAATGTAGTCACAAATTTATTGAAAAAGTACACATTATTAAGTAGACGATCGACAGCGCCACAGTATTACTATATAGATCTACCCCCGGAATTGGTGACACTGGTAGTAATCATGAGCATGTTTGATAACGTATCTCCACTTCAACCCAAGATTTCATCTCTTGAGTAATCGAGAGCTCTATAGACAGTATCTACAACAATCACCCACTAAGTTCTAAGTTCAACTCTTAAGATGTTAGTGGGTTAGCCATATGAGTAAACATACAGGTAAACAACACACTCTAGGATTCAGGTACATCCTGTTTAGTTTTATGATTACCACATCAATTTAGAAGAGGTTACGCGGGTGACATGTTAGTCATCCTGAAGAGAGATCACTTGCAAATATTCGTAAGTTGGTCGACGTTAACAACTACAGCAAATTTACAATTAAAGAAACAGAAGACAGGATCTTGTTCTTTGATATTTTAGGCAACAGAGTAAACAGAGGGACGTAAAAAACAAGTATGGAAAAAACTAAGGTACACAAAGCAAGTATTAAAAGCTACAACAGCATACAAAACGAATTATGTCCAGACACTAATCACAGAAGTAAAAAAACAACTCTGGCAACCAAGAAACAGATCGCCCTACGATGTGCGAAACTCATCTCAGAAATCATCACAAGGGCTCTAAAGCTCTTTGGAATAACCGTCGCCCACAAACCAATGCAACCACTCTATTTCATTCTATACAGACCAAAAGGCAACAACAAAAGAAGAGAAATGAGACATCATTTACAAAATAAATTGCACCAACTACGGGACCTATCACACTGAACAAGTTGAACGTC